AAGTTTGCAAAGAAACCATTTAGGGCACGTAAGAGTAAAGCAAAAGGATTACTGGACGTAATCCACTCAGATTTATGTGGACCTATGGAAGTTGAGTCCTGGAATGGAGCTAAGTATATTCTTACCTTTACTGATGAATTCTCTAGAAAGGTTTTTGTATATTTCATAAAGTCTAAGAGTGAAGTGTTTACTGTTTTTTGTAATTTCAAGGCTCTTGTTGAGAATCAAGTTGGGAAGACTATTAAAGCCCTACGAACTGATAATGGTGGGGAATATATTTCTAAACATTTCTCTGATTATCTTGAGCAAAATGGGATAGAGCATCATGTGACAGTACCTTATAATCCTCAACAAAATGGATTAGCCGAAAGGGTTAATCGTAGTCTTTGTGAGATGGCCAGATGTCTGATGAATGAAGCAAAGTGTAGTAAGCGAATGTGGGCAGAAGCCATCAATACGGCAACTTACATTTAAAATAGGGTTCCACACAAAGCTTTGATAAATAAGACGCCACAGGAATGCTGGTCAGGGGAAAAGACTGATGTATCCCATTTTAACCCTTCCGCACCGACCCTTTAAATAATCGTATGCCACCGACATCGGTGCAGTTCACCGACCTGCGCAATGTTAGCTCTGAAGGACGTTGCTGACAGAACAAGGAAAGATATTCCAATTTTCTTTTCAGGAGTACATAGATTAAGGTTTCAGCTTTCAATTGGTATAGGAGTTATTTATTTTGGACGATTTTTTAGCACGGTATTTTTATTTCATTTCGCTAGTGTAATAGTTCGTACTTTCGTCTCATTGCGCCTAGTTTGCATTGAAGTTTTTCAAATTCTAAGTAAGGAAAATGTATAAAACTATATATCTTTCGACTCTATGGTCTTTGCTTGTCTATACGAGTCACTCCCTGAAACCCCAGACGAAGGTTTTCCTTGAGTGTGTTGCTGTACAGTCTGCTGACACAATGAAGCAGTCAAACAAGAGGGTCTTTTTCTTGGAACCAAATGCAACCTAAGAAAACAAACTTACGAATGATACAGAAATCTATGATGTCATAACACTTTCATCTCTCAGTCGCGCCATAACCATGGTCTCTACAAGTAGGAAAGTTTTACAGGACGATGT